CCGAGCCGTTGCCTAGCAATGGACATCTCTGACTCCACGATTCCGGCTTTCAGAATATGAAACTGCTGCTCAAAAACTTCGCCATGGTCAGGCTGTTAGACGTTGACCTCTGATTGAGGAAGCCCAGATTCAATTCCCGGTGATTGCAACATGAGATTCGCTGTGGACGAAGTAACAATGAAGCATATTTTCTCAGAGTTCCTTCAGGTTTCTCCTATTAATCAGCATTCTACCACTGCTCTATATTCACCTATCACCGCCCCTTCATGTGCACGATAGCCCTAATCAGGCAGCACATTATCATATACTCGGTTGAAGTTTAATCTCTGACAATAACTTGCCACGCTACAGAGTAAGAAAACTCAGTTTTAGAACATATGAAATTCTTCAAGAAAGCAGTCTTCTGGGATGTGGCGCCGTGTAGATATTGTGTTAACCGACGTTTCGGAGGGACTTATCGCCTTCATCTTCAGGGTAGAAGGAGAAATAAGAAAGTCCGTCTCTTCGCTTGCGGATTTTCTTATTCTTCTACCCTGAAGATGGAGGCAATACGTTCCTCCGAAACGTCGGTTAACACAATATCTACACGGCGCCACATCCCAGAAGACTGCTTTCTTGAAGAATTTCATATGTTCTAAAACTGAGTTTTCTTACTCTGTAGCGTGGCAAGTTATTGTCAGAGATTAAACTTTAACCGAGTATATGATAATGTGCTGCCTGATTAGGGCTATCGTGCACATGAAGGGGCGGTGATAGGTGAATATAGAGCAGTGGTAGAATGCTGATTAATAGGAGAAACCTGAAGGAACTCTGAGAAAATATGCTTCGTTGTTACTTCGTCCACAGCGAATCTCATGTTGCAATCACCGGGAATTGAATCTGGGCTTCCTCAATCAGAGGTCAACGTCTAACAGCCTGACCATGGCGAAGTTTTTGAGCAGCAGTTTCATATTCTGAAAGCCGGAATCGTGGAGTCAGAGATGTCCATTGCTAGGCAACGGCTCGGTAAACATATTCCCGCGGAAATGAAGTTTTACACCCATACAGAACCACAGGCAAAATTATAGTTCTGTATATAATTTTTGTGTTTTTGGTCAGCAGACGAGAAGACAAAAGGTTCTGGACTGAATGGTAGCAAACATTACCGGAGTTCAATCTCCTCGTAATTTCCTCCTCAATCAGGTTTTGATTTGTTATCGTCGTTCCCAAATATAAGCATGCCACTAGGCCACTAAAATTTGAGGAATAAAAGAAGGGGTCTTCTCTTTCAAATTAAGTAACGGCTCTAATGTTTTGCTTGTAATCAGCTATACGTAGTGTTTAGCTTAAACTCCGTACCTTTGTTGCGTGCGAGAACGGAGAAGCGGTTAGATTCACCGCTATACTATAGACTCAAGACTGTATTTTTGCGCATGCGTTGTCATGTGAAGAGAGGACGTGGTTGTTAATACTGTCAGTATGTTTATTTCCGCATGAACCGACTTCCAGACTAGAATTCGCCACTGATTTTACCCAATACAGTCAAGATCATGAAAATTTCCCCCTCCTAGCAAACTGTTGTATAAATGTTACTTACTGCTCTAGGCTGTCACCTAGATGGTCTGTTTTTTCGTCTTCTAGAACATTGTACATGTCTGATTCTTCCAGATCCTTTTTGTAGCCTTTTGAAAATATGTCCATTGTCCATCTGTAACATGCCAGGAATTTACAGTTAATAGAAAATCGTGACAGAAAATTTCAGATAATATGAAAGCAATATTTTTTTTATTGCTAGTGGGGTGGGACTAAGTCCCTTGTACTGCGGTCACTTCTGGCCTATTGTAGCAGCCCCAGATGATAGGTGAGGGTGATTGTGGAGTAATTGATGGAATGAAGATTGGCAGGGGAAACCGAAGTACTCGGAGAAGACCTGCCCCAGCGCCACTTTGTTCACCATAAATCCCACTTGAACAGACCCCGGGATCGAACCCGGGCCGCCGCGGTGGGAAGCCAGCGACCAACCGCTTGAGCTATGGCGCTGCCAGGCAATATGTTACTCAGTGTTCAGCGAAACGCATGTATCAGTGATGAACACAAGGCAGTCGGGGGCGCCACATCTGGCCCGAAGACACTCACACATCGGCTCCCGTCTTCGTGTTAAGTTTGTAATAAAACATGGGTTGTTAGAACCACATTTTCTGAATATGCTTAATTTGTAATGTGGGGCTATGTTTTGCATTGTTAAGTTTTTTTTAATTGAATTGAATTTATTTACATTCTATAAATCCTAAGCAGGTTAGTACCTTTGGATACAGAACAAGTCAAAAGGTTACATACATAAGTACAGGCAATTTTAGCTTAAAAATTAATATAACTTAATTTTACATCATTCTCTATTTACATTGAAGTATTCATCTAAAGAGTAGAAGGAATGAGCATGTAGATAATTCTTTAACTCTGATTTAAACTTTTTAGTATCATTGCAGAGGTTTTTAATACTTTGTGGCAGATTGTTGAACACTTTTATGCCAGTAAAGTAGACTCCTTTTTGATATACTGATAAAGTTGATGAGGGTAGGTGGAAGTTATATTTTTGTCTAGTATTCATGTTATAGACATCAGAATTTAATTTGAATTTATCTTTGTTGTAAACAACAAATAAGAGAAGCGATAATATGTATTGCGATTGAAGAGGTAGAATTTTTAATTTCTTAAATAATTCTCTACATGAATCTCTACTTCTACATCCTGTAATGATTCTTATTATATTCTTTTGTATTTTAAAAATTATTACACTATGTGAAGAGTTCCCCCAAAATATTAATCCATAGTTCATAATAGAATGAAAGTAGGCATGGTAAACCATCTTCAGTGTTTCCTGTGACATAAAAGGCTTAATTGATCTCATCGCATAGCAAGCTGCATTTAATTTAGGTATAAATTCAAATTTTAAATTCTATTTGTTGTATACCTTTACTTACTTCTGTGTATATATGGGGGGTAAGTTGTAAATTACTGTGTTCACGAGAGATTGTAAAAGGCGTTAGTAAATCCAACCATCCAATCCAAACTCCGTTACTATTAGTGACGCACATAAATACGTGACATTATGATACTTGTTCTAACTTCTTGCGGACATCTTATGACTTCGACCTTTTATATCCTCTATAAGGTGGGCAAGGCATGTAGCACGACTAGGGGAGAAGAGGAATGCATGTAGGATATTGGTGGGAAAGCCAGAAGGAAAGAGGCCACTTGGAAAACCAAGGCGTAGGTGGGTGGACAATATTAAAATGGATTTTAGAGAGATAGGATCGGATGATATGGATTGATCTAGCTCAGGATAGGGACCAGTGGAGAGTTCTTGTGAACACGGTAATGAACCTTCAGGTTCCATAAAATGCTGGGAAATTCTTGTAGCTGCAGAATTGGCGTCTCCTCAAAAAGGGCCCAGCTCCATGAGTAAGTAATTAAGTTATTCATAGAAATTGAGGAGTTTTCTATAACAAATCTCCTATTTGATGTTAATTTATGATTGAAACGTGTATTTAATTTGCATAAGAAAAGAAAATAGATATACTGAGAGTGTCATTTAACATTCTGTTTCAAGGTTTCATATATATGTTCAAAAGTGTTACCACTACACAGAGCTTTCTAAGTCGACAACGAATGGCGATAAAGCTGTCCCTACGAGTTCTAGTGGTGGCCTGTTCTAATGACCTTGGAATATATATAAGATAAACACCGTCTTAAGTGTAACAATTTAATTTAGTTCTTTCTTCTTTCCCCTCACTCCACACTACATGTTTCGGCCCTAAATGGCCATCATCAGGTGTGTATTCTTACGTAGCTGTTACACTGCCTGTTAAAATTTAAAATCGCCAGTCTTTCTAATTGTATAAAATGTTTGTTAACCTACACACGTTAATTTTGATTTCTAATTAGCACTTTTTTAAAACTTTAATTCAAGATAAAATTTCTGTTCTTTTCCTTTTTCAAATTTTAAAATTAAAATTTTTCCTCAGGGTACATGCCCTATGTCTAAGTGCTGCAGCGGCCACTTCTTGTTTATCGTTGTTCAGGTATTGTACTGTGTAGGCTCTCTCTGTGTGTGTCGCTGCTTATCTTTAATACGTGTGGAATATAAATCGCCAGGATAACGTGGCTTTTAGGCGTCATGCTTTCACGCAGAATTCTCCCTGAAACCGTCATTACTTTCTGCCTTTTTTCGTGACACTCTGTAAATAGCAGATTATATTGTTTCCATCTTCCTTACATGTCCTGGACTCTGATAATGAATGCATGAGCTAATTGCACATTTCCTCAACGTCCTAAAATAGCCGCTGTCCACTAACGTATTTGTCTGCAGCCGAAAGTGTTCTCCGTTACAAGATGTCTCGCCTTACAGAACAAGCAGTTCCTAGTCCCGCCTGGATTACACGACCCCACTCTCCACTACAATGTTATGATTGTTCTTTAAAATAGACCATGGCTTCTTCTCTCTAAAAAAAAAACTCAGTGATTTTAATTCGCAAGTGAACTACACCGACCGAGCGACCGCCGTTTGTCGGCGAAGTTTAGTGCCAACTTTTGCGGATAGAGGGTGTCGCGCAACGATTCCCCACGGCCGTGAATTTCGGTTTTCTAGACCGGAGTCGCTATTTCCTTGAAATTGCTCCTTAGTTATCATCACGAGGCTGAGTGGACCCCGTTTCAGACCTATTACTTCTCAGAAAAAATCTGATAGCCCCGGGAATCGAACNTTGGTCGACTTTTCCGTTTCTTAATATTGTTATTTGCTTATCACAGTAGCCGCGCGTTCTGAGGTATGAACTGTCTTCGCTCGCTCGAACGTTGGGATCGTTGGTTCGAATCTCAGTCAAGGCATTGTTGTCTGTGTTTGTGTTGTCCTGTGTATAGGTAGAGGCCGTGGCCTAGCCATAGCTCAGTCGGTTAGTCGCCGGCTTCCAACCTCTGCGGCCCAGGTTCAAGATCTAGACAGGTAATGTGGGATTTGTGGTGGACAAAGTGGCACTGGGGCAGGTTTTCTCCGAGTACTTCGGTTTCCCCTGCCAGTTCTCATTCCACCGTTTGCTCTAACACTCATCATCTATCACCTGCGGCTGGTACAATAGGACAATTAGTGGCCAATGTACCAAGTGGACTCAGTCTCACCCCACCCCAAGAAACCAATAGAAGAGAGAAGAGTTTTAAGGCCTTGTCCAAGGAGCCCTACCGACTGTGTATAGGATCAAGAAGTTGCAAAAGCAGTCAAGGCGCAACAGAGGACTGTAGATCCATATTAACAGTGGGGTTTAGTTCAATGACTGATGCTGTGTCGGCTGCTTCTCTTCCTGGCTCTGGTCTGTCGTCGCAAAGACAAACAAAGAAAGAAACAGCTGCTGATGTCAATGTATTGCCAGATATTCACGCGGAACACTGCAGCTTGTCTAGTATGAATGTATAGAGGGACCTGTCATGCAACCCAGTGTACTTCCGGAGCCGTGTGTGCGACAGGGAAGCTGTCAGCATCTGTATCCATCGAATAATGCGAGTACAATGATTGATGAATTTTGAAGGATTTGTAATTAAGTGGCCCGTGTTGTATCTAGCGCAGTTCACCGAGTCACGGACACGAAAAGTGTCCATTTCTCAGGCGCAGCGTGATTAGGCAGTGTAAGAACGCGGCGTGGCTAATATCCCACAATGTCCACGCGTTACGCCTGCGCAAAACACATCCCCAATTCATGACAGGTAGTCCACACAAGTCGCGAAATCTATAGAGAACTTAGACAAGTTCTGTATTATGCGCAGTGCATCTGTGTTTTGGATTTCTTGCGCCGTGTTCGAGTAATTTACCAACGGATTGCGTGACTTCTCCCACTAGTATATCTCAGAAATACTGCAATTCATGAGCGGTGTGATGTGCCGCACCGACATTCATGTCTTCAAGGCACGTGAAAGTGGCGCTGTTTATGCGCAATGTTTACAAATGACGCTAAATTGCGCTGGTATTTCAGCTGACGCGTAGAGGATGTTTGAGAGCAGGCCAATGAGGAGAATATAAGAGGCAGTACGCAATAAGAAGATGCAGACAAGATGCAGTCGTCATCCAGTTTCATTACACGAAGATGAAATGAGCTGGCCATGTAGCAGTCATGGGAAGCAGTGGAGAACGTAAGATATTTAGCCAGAAAATTGAAGGAAAGAGACTATTCAGGTGATATACGTTGAATTTATAGAATTGTGACATGACGTCTGAAAGCCGGAATAATGGAGCCAGAACGGAAGTCCATTGCTAGCCAACGGTTCGCCAAACATACGTTCTCGCAGCGACAAACAAACATGTGAATTCTTTGATAGGATCGGTTCGGTAAGCACGTTTCCGTGACAACATCCAGGCAATAGACATTCTCTATGTTTACCGATAGACTAGACAAGGAGCCATGCACAGAAGAACGACTCATTAATCTGTTCCTGGGGTGATATAAATACGGGGACCTGACCCTACATGTTGGGAGAGTCTCAAATCTGAGACAGTAAAATGTGGTCATAAGCCCCGCGGCACTCGTACTTGAGAATAACTGCGCTGGTGAGGATCAGCAGCAACTGTAAACGACAGAGCCATCCTCTCGTGAGGACTATAATCGCAATTATTCAGCTGAAAAAAAAAATCTGGTCGTGAGTCTCAAGGGGCTTGTCGCCGAG